AGAGAGAATGAAAGGTGATGGTGGCATAAGATTGATTAATGACATGTTCATATATTCTACTGCATTGAAACTCCCGCACATCAATTGGATGGCTTAATCTGTTGACTCCTTTATTAATGTCATTTTGACGAACCGGAACATTAGTTTAATATGCTAGTATGTAGAGATAATATTGATATATCACCTGGATGGGTGTATTACATGGATGCTCAAATTTCCACTACAATCAGCTAGATAACTTACCAATTGAACCACTGCATTATTTTACGTTTTGAAGGCAATTACTCTTTCACCTTCAGGCCCATGATAACGTGTATGTGGCCAAAAGCATTCCCACAGCCCAAATTGTTGGCCCTTAGGCTCCATTTAGAAGGAGTATAAATGCAAATATGTAGAATGTAAAACCTTATATTTTGTATGTATTTATATTGTGTATATTTGTATTTGTACTTTTTCTAAACTGAGCTTTATGGCCAAAATTGTTCTCATGAACAAGAGAATAAAACGTGTCATGTTGGCAGATCCATTAATGAATTTAAAGTCTTTTACTGAAGAACTCCATCAAACCAGCTGAGTCAGTTGCCACCTTCATACTTTTCTATTTTATTAATTATTTAAAAAGTTGAAAATATAAAACAATTATATATTCTTATATGTTTCTATTAGAGTCATTTATTAGAACACACTTTTAGGGATGACAATTTTTCTCATTCTCAATGGGGACCCGACTTCCTTGACCCGATGGGGTTGGGCGGGGGCGGGGGCAGGGACAGGGATGGGGATTGAGGTCCCCGCCCCGCCCCGACCCCAATTATATATTAAATGTTATTTATATTAGATATACTATTATATTATTTATATTATATGTATCAAAACATATTTAAAACATTATTTATAATTTAAAGTTTTTATTTATTTAAAAAAAAATACTATTATCTGAAAACATTTTGGGGATTCGGGTCCCCATAGGGAACCCATCCCCATCGAGGATCGGGGATGGGGGATAATTTTAGAATCATGGTAGGGGACGGGGAATATGATCCTTACCCCATTGCCATTCCTACACACCTTATAGTTTTACATATTTACTTAAACCTATCTTATAGTTTTCATTTTACTAAAACATCTCATATATTTTACAACTTATTTACTTAATCAACATTTCACTAAGGATTGTTTGTTTTGTCATTAGGTCTATGATGTTTTAATCCAAAAATACCCTTAATACCTTTTTGTATAAAAAACAAAATTGACCAAATATAGCCAATAGAGTGGTTGTCCGTGTCTTACTAAGGGCAAAAATGGTATTTTTATTCTTATTTTATTTTGATTAAATTTATTTAAATGAACATTAGGGTCAACATTGTCATTTTCCACTGTCATCTAATAGATGATTGATTAAATCCATTGCAAATTATAAGTAGTATTTTAGTAAAATGCTAACTATAGGGTAGATTTTAGTAAACCCATAAAACTATAAGAGGTATTTTAGTATATGACCCTTTTTATTATTTAATTTTTTCTTAATAAATTTCATGCATCGCGAATCCCGCTAATAAATGAATTTAAAGAAGAACTCGATTAAACCAGCTGAGTCAGCTTCCACCTTCATATTTTCTGTTTTAGTTTCATCTTTATTGATAGAGCAATGTTAGGGCGAAATTTAGCTGTTTGTCCCACTATATGTATGGATAACCTAATGGCCATTTCGCAAGTTGCCACTTTAAACTGTAGGAATCAGTTGATCATGTCTCCTTGCTACCTTTCATATTCTAATTGGCTTGTCAAATGTCAAAGCTAGCATCCCTGTCACCAATGCGTTAAAAGGAGAGACAATTCTCCTTTCACGGCGAGTATTAATTAGTAGTATATACTACAACCACCTTAGCATGATGGAGAAGTTCTAAAGAATTTAAACATGGGTGAATGGTGATGCGCTTTGTTATCCCACCCCACCCACCATCCAAAACAGCACTCCTTCCTTTTTAAAAGGAGCGAAAGTTTAGCTGACACCTCTAGTCATCGATAATGTGTTGTGTTTCCATTTGATACTCTCTCACTCTCTCTCCTGGATCGACGAAGGAAGGAAAACATTTTATTTTTATATAAAGATTATCAATTCAATGTTTTTTTTTTTGCTTTGTTGGTATTATTACTCGTTCTCTCTGATTTCAACCAGTATTGTCTGATTCAAAGCGAATTTAGATTTGATCCTTACAGAACCGTCTTTACAAGACTATTGCAACCGTGCATTGAAAACATTTCAGTCCTTGTATGGGATATTCCTAATGCACTGCTGTAAGGATAGTGTGAGTAGGATTTTGTGAGGATCAAACCCGATGGACTGGATGATTGAATCATTCAAATCAGGAACCAGCAGATAAAGCTGTTTTTGGGTTGTCTGGTTCTTCGAAAATGCGGGTTGTCACATGTCATTCCTCTTGTTTCTCACCATTGGATCCTTCCCTTATTTCAGTTGAACTACGTGGATCTTTTGATCTTTTCCCAAAGTTGTAATATTTATTTTTTGTAAGCATATGTTAGATGTAAAATAGCATTAAAATATAATCTGAAACCATGGCTTTTTATTTTGCTTGAGTGGATCGTTTGAACCGTGCAGTTGAACCATTCAGCCTGTGGAACCATCACCAAAACGGCTCTACATCCTGTTCCAATCTGGCAAATATTAGTGTCAAATAATAATTAAAGATATTTCCACTTAATTCAGATTTCCATATAACTGCAAATGATCATCTTTCACAAAAAATAAATAAATAAAAGAAAAGAAAAAGAAAAAAAATTCAGAAGAGCTATAGGACGAAGAAAGAATTAATTGCAGCATGGTTTGGGATTCAATTCTCCATCACCTTCCAATGGAGATAATATTCCTTGCAGCAAATTCCAGACTACCTGGATGTTCGCACTTCACAATGAGAGAATAGTCTGAGTGGGTGACAACTGAGAAGCAAGTGGTTCCAGTAAAAAGGTTTATAATGACAATATGAACAGATTTTTATGGATTGTACCAAGGTTTTTAAAATCGGATCGGAGAGGGAATCGTTTTAAGACCGGTTCTCGGGTTGAATGGTCTGACCGTTCGATTCAAATAGATAGTTTATTTTAATTAAAAAAAAATAGTAAAAAATCATTGTCCGAATCGATGGTCAATCGCCTGAGTCAATAGGATGCTGATCAAATCAATGGTTTTTGGCCAAAGAGCAATTTTAAGGTAAATGGAACCAATTACCTGACCGATTCCTGGGTTTTCCTGTCCAACTGTCCAGTCCGGTTTTGAAAACCATAGACTATACATAATTATATATTCAATCTCCAACTTTATGGTCAAAATTTTTATAATCTTTTTTCCCCAATATAGACTTCTTTGAAGTATTAGGGTTGGAGAACCAAGTCTTTCTGTTTTGCACTCCTTCACATCAAAGGAAACTCGGTTCAAAGAGCAATAGCTATTGTGAAAGACTGAAAGCTTTCTAAAGTCATATATTAATTGGTTCATGTCATAATCTTCTGCTTTTCCCTAATAATTAAGTAGAAGTTATCAATTTCATCACTACAAAGAGAACCGATTTCTCAGGGGTGCCAGAGCATCATTAACTTGATTCACCAAGTGGATTCATTTTGACTATCTGAGTTGTCACCCAAATCGAGGCTATCCTTAGGCTCTCTGGACGCACTACAATTTTACCCTTTTTAAATTGTTCTTGGCAAGGTGTGATATCTTGATTGGTCTATATGTTGTTATATGAAGCATCACTGGTCTTATGTGCTGGCCCAACTCGAGTGGACTAGTGGGTAGCCCATTAAGTCTCTTGGGTTCCTACTTGTGCTTTGGAAAGCTTGCTTGTGTCGTATATTGTGAAACAGTATGATTTTTTTTTGGAACAGTTTAATTTCAAGCCTTCTCGCCATAATTCTACTCATTCCACTGCCTCCTCGCATTGTCTATCTTGAATTATTTTTTATACGAAATTAGAATCTTATCAATAATCATCTCAACAAATTCAACACCAGGATTGGCTGCAGACCTATTTTTTTCCCAAGTGTCACTAAAATGGAAAAAAAAATCGTACACCCCATATTATTTACTTTATCCTTCTCTACAGTTGATGTTTTGGATGATGACCATTCTCTAATCAAAAGCAAAAAAAGACAAATATTTTTCTATTAAAAAGACATTTTTTAAGAACCCAACACTTGGCTCTTCTATACTAAGGCGATTTAGGTCATCCATCTCTAGGTTTTTAGGTCTTAACTCTACTTGAATAGTTATTATCCTTGAAACATTCTTTTCTTTCTTTCTTCTTGTCGACTGTTCCTGTTCCCTTTGTTCTGCTGTGGTTTTACAGGTACAGTGGTTCATCATGTTTTTCTTGATTAATTTCAGGAAAAATTTTCACCAAGCTACTGTTGTCATTAGAGTATTTGGTGGTGTATCGTCTTAAAGGTGTTGGGGGGGCCAAAAGAAAGAGAGGGTACTTGTTAGAACCATCTACGATATTGATATTGCCAACGAGTGCCTCTTGCTTATAATGCAGCAAGAAAGGAATCAACGATATAGTGCCGCAGCCCGCCACAGCCGGTGAATTTATCACTACATTTACTGTTCTCGTTTCAGGAGCCCCTTGTCCCCACAGGGCCCACAGTACCGTCTAGGTGAAGGTTCACTGACGGTAGTGGACCCTCTCCGGCTCATCAAATGACAGTAGGACCCCCAGAGGAACAAAAGTTGGTTCCAGGCAGTTGTCCTCCGTATGGGCCCATCTACAATTATTAGTGCGAATCGTCCAATATGTGTACTATCCAGTTGCAATGGTCATGAGCCATGGCCAAAAAGAATGATGATGACGATCAGGCAATCAATAACTGTTTCAGGAATAGCTCGAACTTGGCCATGAAATATGTGCTTCGAAAGTTCGGGGAAGATGTCCGCCCACGATGGGGCCAAGGTCATCATATCAATGTGATGTTCTTTCACGGGACTATGGTCCATTAAAGAGCTGGCCCACTACCTTAACAGTCCACAATCCAATATTAAATTAGTGATGATCGAGTTCCGTTAAAGCTACATTCTCCTCGCTGTCTTGACTCTTGAGGTCCAACCCACAATACCCACCTCACCCGGCTCACCCCCATATCATATAACTTACATTCTCTCTCCCCTTGAAGATCTTGAATTGAAGCCGAAGCCACGCACGAACACAAATCATTAACAAGTGAGGATGATTATTTTGAGACTTTTCTTTTTCTAAAATTAGTCTCCAAAAATACAAAATATATGTATTAGTAGTATTTAACACTTGAGGAGGGTTAGTTCATTTGTGGGATCAGCATAGTCCATTTCCCAACTCTGTCTTCCAAGGGTGAACTCTAGGTTAGGCAACACGTGTGAAGATGCCAAGGGGCTTAAATACAACCTCTCGCTCTCGTTGTGCGATACATAGAAATCCGCTCCGTCCATCTGTGCTTTAATTGTTCCAGAAAAAAAAAAAAAAAGAAACATGAGTTAGATGGAAACAATTATAGTAGTGATTTTGTAATACTCAAGAAAAGATGTAATGATTTTGCAATTGGAAATTTGGAAGAAACTCATACCTTGTTCTTCTCATTGGTTAAATCAGTCGATTTCAAATGGGAAGGGATTAAGCCACTCTCCTTAGTTGATGGGTCCCAACCATTTGTCTCCATTGATGACCATGAGCCTCTGTTCCCAAGTAATTTAGTGAGAGACGACAGAAGTTATTAGATGAGTGAGGAAGTATATATTTTGATTAAAAAAGAAAAAACATAAAAGATGTCTCTAGATGAATGAGACTGACTCTGTAGGAGTTGATCAACATGTAAATATTAGAAAGAAAAGAAAAATGAAAGGCATTCTAATCCTTAGGACATGAATAGTTTAGTATGTGCTTTTGTGTACAACTGCTTTCAGAAAGATGCATGTCACAGTTGAGAATGTGGTATGCATAGTTCTAAAAAAAAAAATCAAACTTCAAAATTCCCTTCCGCTCAGTGTTAGCGAGTAACAGAGCTTTCTGCCTCATTCCACAGGCGTGCTTTTGAACTTTTCCATTATCAAATTCCGTTTGTCCTTCTGGCTAAGACCATCGGAATCAACGGCAGAAAACTTGGCATGCAATCTTACAAGCTGTCAGTACTGAAGGTCCATTGGATCTTCATCATGATGATTAATATCTACAATCAACGATTGAACATAAACAAAGGGGGAGAGAGAGAGAGAGAGAGAGAGAGTGATGAAGGTAACTACAAAATGGCAGACAAACAAGGAGACAAACTAATTGACAGTAGCGTGAGAACTGAGAAGACAGGGTTTGGCAGCTTCACTTGGGTAGACAGAGGATTGATAGTACCATGACAGCATCTTACTCATTTTTAATGAGTGATTTTAGGTGAGCTCTGAGTCTCTGACGTATTAATAATTTCATTTAGGAAGAACCATTTCTCATTTTGGTGAGATAAGACTATTAAACAAGTCTTGAACAAATCAAACATGTTGGCGAAATCAAGTACACGATTTACCGTTTACAAGGCCTGATTCAATAAATGAACCAGCTGGATATCTCTAATCAATCAGTAATCAATAATAAAACTTTGTTAACTAAAATCCAATCCGCCTGTTCTTTTGATTGATTGTGTTCGACACTTCACGAACAAAGTCAACAAACTCCAAGTAACGAACAACATTTAATACTCCTTTTATGTAAAAACCATACATACCCGGAGGATGCCCTAGACTTAGATTCATCAATGTCGATGTAAACCCAATAAAAAAACCTTAAAATTGAAGCTACATCTACCCTATCCACAAACCCAAGTCTCCTATTTACAGTCTCACACACCGTTATATATCAAAAGGAAAACAAAAGCAGCATTACTTATTATCCCAAAGTTAAAATGCTTGCCCTTTGCACCAAACATTAACTGATGAAAGCTCAAAGCTGTTTGTACATGTTCGATTTGAGTCATTGACATTTACACGTTGTTACGATGGAGAGAAGAAGATGAGACTTAATGAAAAAATGGAATAGATAGAGTGGAGGTGATGATGGTGCACACACCTTGGAGATTTTGGTAGTGGTGGGTTGAGAGAATAGGGATTTGGATCAGTTTTCTCACATGATGATAAGCCAGCATCCACTTCGATGACCCCCGATCTTTGATTCAAACCCAATTCGGTCTGCCCTTGGCCTGCAATATTCATTACACATACAGTCATTGCTTGTGCTTTATCAGACACCGAACAAATAATTCACGGACAAAAGCCAGACCAGTCTCAACCATTTTGTAGAAAGTAATAGTGCATCAACTAATAGAAGATCTGCCACCCTTGGATTAACAAAAAAAGAGGAAAAAAAATAAGGAGAGGGAGAGAGAGAGAAGTAGAGAAAAAAAGGTTCTTAAGGGGAAAATCCAAATACCTGCTCCCTTGTCAGTGCTCTTCACTGTTCTATACATCTGCATGAACACGCACAGGAAGAAATTTTAAAACAAAAAAGTCCACATTGCTAAGATTACTCTTTAGATGCCCTTTTGTCCTTACCCCTTGTATTGCAAACCCCACTGACTATACAAAAGAATAAAAATCTACGAATTATAACAATATTAATAAGTGCAAACCAGGACATTGGTTGCAGTAATCTCACCTGTAAATGGCTCTTAACATGAGCTAGAGTTAGATCTTTCACATTCATCAGCTCCAATACCGATTTAGGTGTTGCTCCTGTTAGTTAGAAGAATCGGTGAGAAGAAATAGTGTAGAAGTTTGATCTGTTTATATGGTGAAAAAGGATAACAAAAATCAATATAGAAAATGAAGATTGCTATCTACTATTATCTGTTTTTCTCTGTTCTGCTTACTTTCATGGCCACCAAGCAGTTCCACTGCGTGAACGAAATGGGCATGTAAAGTTGTGGTCCATCTCATTCTAGGAGCTCTGATGCTTCTTTTCCCTCCATTAATCATTCTGGAATTCCTTTTGAACTCACGACCATAGATTTGAGGTTGGTGGAGGTAGTGAAGGTTGCGTGGCAGTTGCATGGGCGGAGGATCCACAGCTGCCGTCTCAAACCCTAAGCTCAACGTGGGTTCAGACCCTCTAAGATCATAAGCCCTCTCTAAGTGCAGGAACCCTTGTTCATGGGTTACATCGCTCCCACTGCTACCAGAGTCGGTGGTGGAGGTCCTGTCACTGTAGATTGGTTTCCTCATCCATCCATGATAGCTCATATCCTTACCTTCGCAATCTGGAATTGTAGGTGGGCTGATCTGCAGGGAGAGATCGGGGAAAGGCAACGTAGTTCTCATAGAGTTAGAGCTCGAGAGAATAAAATGGCGGAGACGCGGTTCAGATCATTCAGTGGTTACCGGATTTGGATAAGTAAGGAAGAAACGGAGTGAAAGTTGTGAGATTGAAGGAACAAGGTGCAGGTCGAAGTAAGAAAGAGAGAAGTAATGGAAGAACGGAGGAAGCAAACGATGCGAAGAGAACTAAATGGGGAGGGAGTAGGTAGTGATCATATCATGAGTGGCTTATGATTTGCATGAATGTTGATAAATGGGAACGAAGGGGAGTTAGAAAGGCTAGACAAAGAAGGATAGGCTTTCAGTAGGATCCCTCTAGGGTTAATAAACAACACCAAGGAAGGCGAGACGGATGTGCAGGAATTGCAGAGGCTCTTTAGTCATATAAAAAAATAAAGTTGGGAAGAAAGAGAGTCGGTGTCTGGAATGAAGCGATGAAGGAAAAGATAGTGAAAAGGGTAAGAGGTGTATTTTAAGGAAGCAGAGGTATGAGTTATATGACAGACGTATGAGAGAGAGAGAGAGGAAGCGATTAAATGGTGGTTTCTGCAAGGAATGGTTGGAATTCGAAAAATCAAAGGGGGTACTAATTTTTGTGAGAAGGATTTTTGAAAGCATCTGTCGCTCACGTCAACACAACGGCAACCTCCAAATAAAGTTTTCAATTTTCATGTCATTTTGTTTTTTTAATAAATAATAATTATAATAATTCTTATCCGGTTTTTCTCGACAACCCAAATTAGCATTATCATTTCTATTTTACTGAATTCAGAATATTCCATTTATATTTTATTTTAGGAAAGGAGGACGGACGATCCTTGGCCCTTGGAAGGAAAAAAAGACATTGGCTCCTTTGCTTGAGGAAAATGGAGCAAAACGCTCCTATTGGCTATGGACTGTGGTGATCTCACACTCTCTCACTTACTACCATCATGATCTTGTGTGTTCTCTACTGAAGCCTCTATGTAATTTTGACAAATGTGGGCCACTTAGAACATCCTTCAGCCTTATGATAAGGTCTGGCCAGTTATGCGTGTAAATGAACCCGACCCGTTGGAACCCCTAAACTGCAGACGATAGTGATCGGCTCACCCAAACCTCCATGAATTTTCCACATTTGGAGAATCGGGTCCATCCACTAGGAACTTCTTCCGCCGGTCGACTGACTCACCGTAACTAGTCAGTCCGAGTCAGTCGACATTTAGAGCACTGATGCACTGTCTAATAAATAATAATAAAACAATTTCTTAATTTGCAAGGGTATTAGGTACATAATTTTCTACCAGCTCGTCGTCCTTCTCGCAGCAGTAGAAAGTTACTCGGGATAATTCCCCAAGTACGAAATATACAAAAGTGAAATTACCAGACCATTTCACACCGGAGACCAGCAAATTAACAAAGGCGGTCGTCATATATCTGTCTGGACTCTTGAATTTTACTAGACGCGAGATATTGGATTTGGAGATTGATTTCTATGTTTTTTTAGTAGACGCTCACGTGAGAGGTGAGAGAAAGTAGGGCCGTATCTGTAACTCACTAACTTGCATAGCTAATGGTGTAGGAATGCGGGGACAGTATCGAGCCGTGCACGTGGGACTAGCACAGTCCCACGCAAGAATCAGATTTATAACGAATAAAGAAGAAAAAACTATCCCAAAAGAATTTGGGAGTATTAACGTTGGATGTCTCAACTCTCAACTCGGTCGAGTTGAGTGAGTCATGAGATATAATGAAGACGGAATATATCGCGAGAAGTGTCAAGGAGGTAGGGTTGTCCGGCGACATCGGGGCTGCAAGCCACATGCGGAATGAGGGTGGCCCATATGACCCAGCTCCAGCCCCAGCCCGCTCAAGCCTCCAACCTTCCCTTTTAACGCCTAGCATTTTGTCTTCTGCCCTCCCTAACCCTCCCTAATATTCCCTCCTCGTGTCCAAATATTCTCCTCTCGAGCCCCTCCCTGCCATAGACGCCCACGTGGCATATATCCGACGATCCACCACATTCCCCGGCTTCCATCACGTGAGATATGGGCGTGACCTTGTCGAGGCGATAGGCTCTTAAGCTCATTGTTTGTTCTGTTTTGCTGCCCGCTTCATATTTTTTTCTTCTTGTGATAGACTTGTTTAATCAACAAATTAGGGCAAGAGCAAGAAGCGTAAACACATTAATCATTTGTTAATCGATTCCGAAGCTGTGGTCAGCGGCTGATGCGCTCTAGATTCTCCGGGAAATGAGATTTTTTAATTTTAGCAGTGTCATTCACGTACATTCATACATGTTTCGCTCAATTCAATTCATCGGTGATTCAGGAATTCAAGAAAATAAAAAAAAAAAACAAGAAACGAAAAGCCTATAAACAAGTTGATAATCGGCTAAATCATATTCGGTCAACATGTCTCTCTCTTCGTCACTCACTCCCAACATTTTCAATTACTTTGCTTCTTCATATTCCATATTCCATGTGTTTGTCTTCTAGCAACCATCGTTGTACATGCACTTTTTTTTCTTTGTTTCCTTCTTTTTTGGTTTCTGTTCACCTTCAGAATAATCCCATTTTGCTAACATGGGGGTCACTACAAATTTATATACTTAGCAAACCGGAATTGGACCGGTGGGTTTGAACCCAAGAAATGGTTTGAACCCTTTACCTTGATTGAGTAGTTATATTGTTCAGTTGTTTTAATTTTATTGGAGATCTGCTGGCATCTGATCGGTGGGTTGAACTAGGTTAGACCAGCAACCCAGACCAATGGCTAGCTAGAACAAAAACAATTGCTGAGAGATGCATTTTTTTAAACAAGTTGGACCAGACCCACATGAAGATTAGTTATATGGATCAATGTCACACACAATTAATCTAGTTAATTTAGTATAAACATAAATTTAAACAAATAGCCAACTTGTGATCTGTGGAATTAAGGAATGTATCGCTTTCTTTCATGTACCTTTAGGTATCTAAAGACTTGAACAAAACACACAATTTATTAATGGAGCTAGTTTGATTCAATCAGTAGTCTATCACGTGCCTAGCTTTTATTCCTCTCTATTACTTTCTCATTACTTTTCCATCTCATTTTTCTATAATGTTTGATCGGAATCCAGTTAACAAACCATACACAGTCTTACATCTATATGGCTAGCTTTCTCTTTGACTCTAACACACCCTTCCACATGAAGGACTCCTCAGTGAAACGTGAGACCTTGATTTCTGAATTGTTTGTTATAATAAACTTTATTTTTTGGGGGTTAATCACTAATCAGTAATCTTTTGCTTTTTTCGCAATATTGATCACAGCCCGAAAAAAAAAAGAAAAAAATTAAAGGCAATGCGTACGACCCAAAAAATCCCATGTTGTTTAAGCAGAGAAGGTTTAAGTAGTGTTTGTGTTTGCTTTTGATTTACGTTAATATAATAATGAAGATCATGCTTCGAGGGAGAAACAGACAAACACACGACGCGATCCAATCGCCTCGCCTCCTCGAACCAATAACCAAAAAGAATAATCGTCTGGCATAGCATGGTTGTAGACAGCTTTTGAATTTGCATTGCTTCTTCTTCTTCTCTCTACGATCCCTTCTACTAATAGAATCTCCGAGAACGATGCCACTTAGGCTAACGTGCGCCACCTTAGAATAATAGTAAAAGCGGTCAAACCCCACCTTCAACTTTCAATAATTGATGTTAAAAAGCCACTTCCCTTTTTAATTCCCTCCGTGTCAATAGTCAGCAGTACTGAAACAAAAAGCAGAAAGGAAAGGAGAAAGGGAAAAGGACCCTCCTTTTCTTCTTTCTTTCATTCTTTCCCACTTAACACTCGCCCCATCAAAGCTGCCCCAGAAGGGTCTGATCACCTTTAAGCGGCAAAAGCCAGACCCAGCCAAGGACGAAACCCCATTTCATTTTAGACTGGCTGGTCTAGACAGTAGTACTCTAGCTAGCTAAGCAGCTAAGCTAGCAGTCTATCCTGCGCACCACCCCTCGATACACACAATAGTGCAAAATTTTCTTTCGTTTCAGTAGAGACAAAAGGGGTAAAGACGTACGTACGTTACGTAATACGTGACCCAATTGGGGTGGAGGTGGTAAAGCGGAGAGCCCGTCCGGTGCCTCGAAACTCGAGCAACCTTTTCCTTTTTGTGTTTCTGTTATTACCAACTACTACTAGTAGTTTTACTATCACTTCTGCTTACCCTATTTCGTGTCTTGTCTATTCTCCAATCTCAATGTACACGCAATTCTCTTTTACCCGAATAATAATAATATGTTTAAAAGAGAGAGAGAAAAGAAAGATGGAGAGAGAGAGAGAGAGTTAAAGATGAGGCAACATACAATTACAATACTTCTTCGGCTTATTGGTTTCTCGGAAAATGTTACACAAGGCTGAAGGCACAGCTTCATCACAGGGTGTTGACTCTTGAGACAGTCCTGGACCGTTGAATTCATTGATGCTACATTACCTTGATTTATATATCCCGTGAACAACCCAATCCTCCAATTCATTTGTGTGTCATGCATTTACCTTTCAATAAATTTAATGGGATTAAACCTCTAACTCAAGGGTATTAGTGAGAGATTTATTCAATTATTAATTAAAAGTTAAAAATTAAAACAACCAAATCATTTTTTATTACTGACTGAATAAAACTGCAAGTTCTATTTGATTTGATTTGGTTTTACGGTTTGAGCTGTAGTGTATATATATAATAAACACCCCTAGAGCGCTCAATCTCATAACTCTTAAAGTGGGTGGGGCCGACCTCGGTGCGACACTGCTCAGCAACGCTTCATGCAGAGATGGGAGTGGAGGAGCCGAGGAAAGGGCTGGGCAAGTGAGGAAGGTGGGGGCCATCATAATTTCGTAAACAGAAGAAAACAACCAAGAGGCTGCTTTTAAAAAACACAACCATCAAAACATCCAGTGCATTTATTCTTTTTCCGTATATTTGGATTCCCCAAGCATCAGGGCAACTTTCTATCTCGCCATGCATTCTCTTCACCCCCACCCTTCTTAAATTAAAAAGGGTACTGGACTGTGAACTGGGCCACCGGTTGTTCATTCAAAGAACTGTGTTAGAGTTCTGAACTTCTGGTGCTGATGAAGGAAGGACATGAAAGGAGGCAATAAGCGTAGAAAATAGAGAGAGGGCAGCGGATCTCGTACACACGACTCTTAAAAAAAAATAAAAAAACTCATCTAAAATGGTAAAGAAAATGATGACGAGTAATTCCTCTGCAAATGTCTGATTCAAGACCCCTCAAGTCAACAACCCACTTGATCGAGATGGGGTGGGGTCTGTTAATAATCTCAGTGTTCTGTGTTTCGATGCATCTTGGTTCCTGGACCCAGCTACCGTGACTATCACATATTGGAATCAGCCTTTTTATGCTCATCAGATCACTTCAATTGCTGTGCTAATTACGTGGAAGAAAAACCAAACAACAATTCTGATCTGATGACACATGGCATTGCATGAGCTTCTTGTGTTAGTTAGGCAGTGACTAAATGGACTACTCTTGTTCTGTCATCTTTGTAGAATCAGTATGGAGAAGAACACATACAGTAGCGTCATCTCATTGGTTGATGCAAGCTCTCGTTGCTTCGTGGAAATTGTTAACCAGACAACCTT